GCGTTGGCGTGATGCGCCTGTAATCGGAGGGTCTGCCACGGTGCAAGGCGAGTTGGTTGAAATCGACGTCAATCGCTGCAGATTGTTCGTAAAAAATAAAAAAATAAAAAAGAGCTATGTGCGGCAGCTTGGCGGCAGTCTGGTGTGCCTTGCGGGGTAAACCCGGAAATGGTGTAGGTTTGATTGTTCATGTTGGTGAATAAGTGACAACGTACGGTCCGTGGAAAAGCAGGCCAAGTTTCGAGGTATAGAAGGCCGTTCGTGTACCATACCCTGTCCCTGACGCTGTATGGAGCTGTTTGATGTTTTGCATCGTAGGAACGCTTCATGCCGTGAAGGTAAGCGAGGTTTGCGTTTGCAGCGTCGCAGTTCGCGTGGACGTCGCCGACCTCGTCAGGAAGCGGGGAAAATTCCATTGGTCGACGTGGGACAAAGTTGAACAGTATTGGGGGCTCCGGACGACGCGGCGCGTTCTTGAACAGTCACAAGGGCCACACTTAGCACCTTTATTCCTCTCGTTCGACAACGGAGATCAGTGCGGCTGTAATCGTTTCTAAACCGATATGTGACTTTCTCGCCAGGCACTCCGAGAAGGCCAAGACGAAGTGGCTGCCGCTATGGGGCCACTAGTTGGCCTCTTAGAGATCGGCCTCTCGGAGGAGGCCATTGACAGAAGGACGGTGGCTGACCACTTGGGGGCAGCGACCGCCCATCTCAAGCAGCTTTTTGCGTTGCTCTCCCGCGAGCGCCGGGAGGGGGTGATTGCACGAGTCGCCCCAGACCTCCGCCAGATGGTGGCCCATGATGGTGGGGACGAGGGATCCCCATTGCTGTTCAGAGAGGGCTCCTGGGGCAGCTTCGAACGCGGAACGAGACCATCAAGGTCCTTCGGGAAGCACGCCAACCGCCCACTCCCGCCGCGGAGCCAGCAGCCAAGAGGCCCCGCAGCTCGGCTGCCCCAAGGGCCAGTGCCCAGAGCCGGAGTGGGGGCCAGCAGCCCTTTCACAGGGGGCCCCCTTCCTGAGGCTACACGAGGGGGCCTACCTCCATCAAGGACATCGAGACAAGTGTAAGCCCGCACCTCTTAGCACTGCTGCCCGCGGGCCGACTGGCATATTGCCGCGAAGTGTGGAGGTTACTCTTCCACGATGCATGGGTCCTTCAGACAACACAGGGGTATAAGCTGGAGTTTGCACAGGTACCAGCGATTCAATGGTCGCACAGCGTGCCGACGCGAGGGCAGTCAAATCAGGTCCGGGAGGCAGTGTCCTAGCTGGTAAGAAAGGAAGCGGCAGAAGCGGTCTCTCGGGTACCGCCCTCCGAAGTGAAGTTCCTCTCCCCCTTCTTCGTAGTACTAAAGAAGGACAACAAGGTGCGCCCAATCCTAGATCTCCAACAACTAAACAAGTCGGTGCCACACAACCACTTCAAGATGGAGGGTTGGCACTCTGTGAGGGATCTTATCCAGCAGGGCGACTCCATGATACGTATCGACCTGAAGGACGCATACCTGTCTGCCCTAATCTGCCACCAGGATCGCCCCTGGCTCGGCTTTCGAGAGGGGGACAGGGTCTATCGTTGGAACGTGCTGCCATTTAGCCTCAGATCGGCACTGAGAGTTTTCACAAAACTACTGAAACCAGTCGCGGCCTATCTCCGGTTCAAGGGACTTCGCATCGTCATGGACCAATCCCCCTCTCTACTGGCAAACCAGGGACATCTAATCGTGAACCTCCTACAAAACCTGGGTTTTGCCGTAAACTTGGAGAAGTCAGTACTGACACCAGCACAGGACTTGTTGTTTCTGGGACTATCGATAGGCTCGAAACGATTGACGCTCGAGCTCCCTGGAGGGAAACTCGTCAACCTGTTAGACCACCTACAACAGAGGCTAGAGCAATCAAGGATCACGGCCCGCCAGGTTGCAAGCCTGGCGGGACAACTGAACGCATGCCTAATGGTGCTGCCGGAGGGTTCCTTTTATATCGGGAACCTTAAAACAGATTTGAGACGGGTTCTACCAGAAAGGTACATACACGACCACTCTTAAACTATCCAGGGACACGCGGCAGGAATTAGCGTGGTGGATCCGAGCACCAAGGAAGACCCCAAGGGGCCAGATCAAGACACCCCCAGTAGTGCAGACGTTACAGTCGGACAGCTCGCTCACCAGGATAACCCACGAGCTATGGTCGTGGTGTTGGGCGAAGGGAATATCAGTCAGGGCGCAACACATTCCGGGGCACATGAACACGGATGCAGACCAAGCATCCAGGAGAGTGATGGATGCCAGCAGTTGGAAGCTGTGCCCGTTCACATTCAGCAGGGTCAACTTTCTGTGGGGCCCCGTGCACATGGACCTTTTTGCGGACTTCTCCAACCACCAGGTGAGGCACTATTACAGCTGGAAGCCGGATCCTCAGGCGGCAGCAGTGGATGCTCTTAGCCACGACGGGACGGGTCAGAGCCTCCATGCCTTCCCACCGTTCAGCCTTGTGAGCAGATGCATTGCCAAGTTGCAGACCTCCAACAGTCTGCTCATTCTAGTAGCTCCAGTCTGGCCATCTCAGCCGTGGTATGCCTCGCTGCTGTACCACTCGTACGAGGAACCGCGTCTTCTTTCCCAATCACACGACCTACTGCGCAGCCACGACGGGCAGGTACATCCGATGCTCAGCACGGGGACCCTGATACTAGCAGCATGAAGACTGACCAACTCCAGCAAACACATAGCCAACTTTCGGAGCAGGCTGCACACCTCATTGAGGCATCATGGAGGCGGGGAACACAGCTCACCTACACCTCTTGCTGGCGCAGGTGGGAACGCTGGTGCCATTCGCGGACTGTTGATTCCTTTTCTCTCACTCTAACACAGGTGCTCAACTTCCTCGCTAGCCTTTTTAAGGAGGGCCTGGCGTATCGCACTATAGGATGTTACTGTTCTGCCTTGTCTCAGATCTTGCATAACTTTGACGGTTGCCGTCTAGGGGAACACCCTTCAGTGGTGCGCCTTATGAAGGGAGTGTTTAATCCTAACCCCCCCAAAACCCTGATACCCCCCAACTTGGAGGGTTGACAAGGTGACAACCCTCCTGCAGTTGTGGGGTCCTAACAAGGACCTTAGCCTCAAAACGCTCACTAGCAAGCTAGCTATGCTATTAGCCCTTGCCTCAGCAGGCAGGACGTCAGACTTGTGCCTGCTTTCAACGTGCCACATCCGTAAGCAATTCGCGGGTTGGGAGCTTGTGCTCATTGGCCTCAGAAAGACTTCTGGGGCATCTAAGCCCCTTCCCACCCTCTTCTTGCCAGCATTCAAAGAGGTTCGGGAATCGTGTCCAGTGGAATGCTTGCAGATGTACCTCGAACGGACTGCAAGACTACGAGGCGCCCACACGCAGCTTCTGCTCACTACGCAATAGCCTTTCCGCCCAGCAGCGCGGGACCACAGTAGCTCACTGGATAAAACACACACGCTTGCGGGCATTGACACGTCGGTTTTCAAAGCGCATCAACGCGAGGAGCAGCCACCTCCAAAGCTGTGGAGGTCGGCGTACCACTTGCCGACATCTTAGCAGCAGCTGACTGGTCCTCCGAGGCGACATTTAACCGCTTTTACCGACGGCAAATGGATGCCTGGGCTCACTTTGGAACCCAGGTGCTGAGAACACATGCGAAAGCTTTGAACAAGCAGTTGTGAACTTGATAGTAAGTGCGACAGAGGCTGAAGTATAATTACCAGTTCTGACGAATGGTACTTACCTGAAGTTAGAGCGGGAATTATACGAAGCCTATGGAAGCACTTACTATCAAGTTCACACTCCCACCACATCCTTGCCCTTTTTTGGGATATATCATCACATTCTCTTCCCTGTCGTAGGTCGAGGTGGTTCAACATGGCACCAGAGGTAGTGCGTAGCGCGAGAGCTCCAACCAGGTGCCATCACCAGAACGGGAAATAAAAGCGTTCTGAGTGCACAAGCGCTTATACTCTATCTTTCTCGTGGGGGCCCCACCATCTCAATGCAGCCACAAGCTATGGTGTAACTGGTGTAACCACTAACTCGGAAAGATGAAGTCGGAAGGGGAGAATACTTCCCTAAGGGGGAACGCCTATGGCGCCACCTACTTATTATTTTCAAAATAGCTTTGATACGTTGACGTCAGTTCCGGTATAGAAGGAAAACGCAGCTGTGAACTTGATAGTAAGTGCTTCCATAGGCTTCGTATAATTCCCGCTCTAACTTCAGGTAAGTACCATTCGTCAGAACTGGTAATTCTTCTAACGGACGCACTCTTCACGGCGAAGGCAATGTATGCTTCTCCAGAAAAAAATGAAATAAAAAAGTGTGTTCCTTTGTATGGTATTTGCATCTTGTTTTCCGAATTCAAATGACTCCTTTCTTTCTCCCCCTCACTCTCTAATTTACACCCCCTCCCCCCTCTCCTTCTCCCCTCCCTCTTCCGCGCCACGCCGCCGCCGATCCGTTGATCCCCGCGCCGTCAATACGCCGCCGCCGGAGGTACAAATACCGGCGCGCCGCCGCCGGCGATTTCTTACCGGCGCACAGGTCTAGTTTGGTTGGGGATTTGCATTTGCCACTCCTCCTCACCCACCTTTACCCCCCTTTCGTATTTCCACTGCTAAGGCAGCTAAGGGCGCCAATGCCAAATGCAGCTTCATGCATATTATTCGATACAGGCAGGTTACAGGTGATGTTGTTATGTATTTATTGTACGATGGTGTCCGAACAATATTTATGTTTTTATTTTTGAAAAATTAAGAACAAAGTAAAATTATATTTTAAATTTCAAAGAAATAAGAAAAAAAAATAAAACCTCCAATAAACCACTAGTTTTTAGCAAAAAATGAACTCCGAAAAACACACTATAAATTTCACACACTACTCATTTCATTGAAAAAAAAAACTCTAGCTAGGTGGCGCTAACTACCGCCTAGTTTGTAATGTAAGACAAAACTTGATTTCTATTTGTTAAGAACCATCTTAATTTGCTTCTCTGTAGCTCCAGCCACAGCAGCGGCGGTAGCGGCGGTGCGGCGCCATCGAGGGGAACATTTTTAGGTTGTGTGCTGTCCTTAACACTTGAAATTACTGCATTTGCTCGTTAGTAAGACATTAAGAGCTCAGTTTCGCGGTTCCTGATTCGCAGCTGGTACAACCAAGCTTGGACTCCATTTTGGGCAGCATCCGTAGACCAGCTTCTGGCTTTGGCGTTTTAAAGCGAGTGAGTTCTGCATCGATGCTTCTTGGGAAACTTCGAGAAACCTTACTGCGTCGTATTTTTAATTTGCTGTTGTTCACCTGTCATATTCTAGACGTTGCCCGGTCGTTTTCAGGCGCCATTTTATATCTCCTGTAAAATTGAGACTTCAAAAGTGTAGCTAGACGTGATCTGCCTGTTGCATCACCCGAAAAGTCAGATTCTACCCTCCTAGCATTAGCATGATATTTCCTCTTCTGTACTCTGTCAACCAGAAGAGTAAAACTAATGAAGTTTAGTGTTGTGCTTCAACGTGCCTGCGCTCGTCAATTACAAATTTAAAAAAAAAAATCGAAATTGCGTTTGTATTGCGATCATTTACCCGCAGGAAAGTAGACCTCTCGATATCTGAGCATACTAGGGCTCTGAGCGAGGGCGTTACATGAACGGAATGTCAACATACATACGTAGTACATACATACACACATGAACATTGATAGTTGCCACGTACAAAGCGCGACACTTAGACGAACAACTGTTCCCGGCATTGGATTGTTTTTTTTGTTTTCTTTCTTTTGTAGGAAAAAAAAAACAATCATCAAAACTGCTGCTAGTGTGGTGGCACATGTGTATCCTACATCCTCGACATCAAATGTTTTTAAGCAGTAGTATATAGGATGTCATCATGGCTCAGTGTTAATAAAATGCAAGTGTGCCATTGTTACGTTCGTGCTAACTGTCCCCTATGCCTGTAGAATCCTGACAGATGTGACCTGGAGGGTACACTGATGCAGTCATGTGTTTCAGAAATTGTCGACGATGCTGGTGGCGTGGAAGTGCTGCCTCGCTCCAGTCAGCAGGGTCTCCGTGAAGGCGGTCCTGAGTGGTCCGACGGTGGCATCAAGATGGCCGACCGTGCAGACGTCCATAAGTATGGCTACCCGTGCCAGATCACGCTTCCAGACCGTTGCGCCCAAGCGGCGCACCCTCAAGGAGATTGTGATGGCCCCTGCCAATGACACGGGTTCGTAAATCTAATCTTTAATGTTTGAAATGCATTTGTACGGAACGAAACCTCAGAAATCTGTCCACCTTCGTCCGTCTGTTTGCTAACCATTCGTTGCCTAACAACGGCACTTGTGAACAGCGTCGCTAAGCAACGGCACGTGTCAATCCCCTTTAGAGACATAGCAACACAATTTGCACTGCGATGATTTTACCGGATCAGTTGATAGCTTGTGCTAGTAAGTGTGTGCTTCATCATATCGGCAAGCCACAGGAAGACGGATCAACTTATTGGCTCTGGTGGCACTGCATCCGTCGACGTATACCACGGCTAATGTGCCCTTCCTTTTAAGCACTTTACAAAAGATTGGTTCAAAGTGTGTGCAGCATTTGTGATAGACTGTGGTTTAAGGCTGATCTAGTTAGCATGCAAAATAATTGGAAAGTGTTGCTCAAGTGTACATACCTAACAGAGTGTGCGGACGCCTTGAATACTTTATTTGCATACAAGGCATCGCTGAAGGAAGAAATGTATGATTACTTTAAAACAAAGTTGGATAAGGTGTAGAATGCGTTACCAAACTCTACAATGCCAGAAGAGCAACAGTCAGACAAATCAATTAAGAATAAAGAGTGAAACAAGTCACAGCTGTTAAAGAAAGCAAATAAGATTAAAGGTTCATACAAATTGGGTAAGGTCACAAACAAAACAAACTAATGAAATTACAGATCGAGTGCATATCTTGCATTATCAAACTTTGTCTTAAAGTAACCGTGAATAATATTTTTCTTTTCAGCGTTCAATGTGGGCAAGGGAGTTTTGGCCGGTGCATCTGCCTTTGGGGTTGGAGCACTCTGCTACTATGGCCTTGGAATGTCCAACGAATCGGGAGCTCTGGAAAGATCCATGTATGTGTCCTGCTCTTGTCACCTCTCATTTCTTCTTGCCCTGTCCCTGTTGTATTTTGTAGGTGGACTTCAAACTCAACAATGAGTTATGGACATTTTCAGAATTTGCCGACGCATTGCAGACGTCAGCATAACTTTTACCTTACTAAAGACAGTAATGAAAACGTGGTCGGGCACTGTCACTTTCACGCGTCAGTGGCAGAGAGTTCGCTACTGTACAGTACCTTCTCCACTTCTTTCGGCTTCGATGGTGACAAAAGAAAATCAACCGGTCAGTATGATGTGCTGACCCACTTAAACCCTTCGATAAAATTTGTTACCTTAAGAGGCTTCAGAGCCAACTATGTGCAAACAGGTTGATTCAACCTGAATTTGGAATAAAGGCTGATGCAGGCTCTTGTATTCAATTTCCACGTCCTTTTGTACTACTAACGCCTTGTATGTAGAGGCCTCGTAACCTCCGCTTTGATGCATCTTCAACTTCTTCCTTAATCAGTTGCCAGAAGGCTGCCATCATGTAATGGCACAGAGGTACCATACATTCAGATGATGACAGCGATCAAAGTGGCCAGTCTGTTTACACACTCGTGGTGCATCCAGAGTGGTTCATCAGCTTGCAACTCCAACTCCAGCCCCTTCCCTAAAGATTAGGATTTCTGGTTGTGGTTACCTCATTCCTGCCAACTTCGAATCACTGGTGATGTCTCCTGTATGGGAGACGAAACGTCCGATTAAATTGTTATATTTGTTGCATTGTAGTTTGTTTCATCCCGATGAGTCCGGCTTCTGAAACATTTTGTATATACTCGTCGACACTCACGGCAGTGTTGGACCTAAGCCACATGCACATCTTGCAGGTTATGGCCGGAGTATGTGAGGCAGAGGATTCGTGACACCTACAGCTACTTTGGGGGCAGCATTGTGATCACGGCGGCATCTGCATTTGCCGTGAGCAGAAACCCAGCCATGCTGAACATGGTCATGCGTAACTCCTGGCTGGTAAGCAATGGGATTTATCGTTTCTGAAGGGAAAAAAAAAAAAAAGTGATGATTAGCTTCAGTGGGTCCACAAAACAAGTTATACCAATTAGTGCAGCACAATTTCTACACATTTACAATTGCAGGCAATTGGTGCCAGCTTTGCGGCCATGATCGGCAGCGGCATGCTGGTGCGCTCGCTGCCCTACGAAAGAGGCCTGGGTGCCAAGCAGGCGGCTTGGATGCTGCACAGCGGTGTCATGGGAGCACTGGTGGCCCCCCTCTGCCTCCTGGGGGGCCCCATCCTGGTCCGGGCAGCCTGGTACACTGCTGGGGTGGTGGCCGGTTTGTCGACGGTGGCCGCGTGCGCCCCTTCGGAGAAGTTCCTCAACATGGGGGGACCGCTGGCCATTGGACTCGGCTTCGTCTTCGCCTCTTCCCTCGGTGAGCTGAAGTCCGTTGCATTTGGCAGCCTTTACGAAGGAATCGGTGTGGCACAGTGGGATTCACTTACCGCAAAATACAGTGATAACTCGTTAACTCGAACACGGCTATCTCGAAATAGTGGTTAAGTCGTAAACTTTCTTTGTCAAGGCATGAGCTCCAATAGACACAATGCATTTTGTCCTTGCTTATCTCGAAAGGTTTTCATGACGGACTTCGGATATCTCGAAATCTGATCAGCGAAAATCGCCAAAAAACACATTAAACAACAAAAACTGCCGAAAAACAAAAAAAAAAACAAAAAAAAAACGCATGCACAAAAAAAAAAAAAAAAAAAACTCGAAAGCGCAAGAAAACAATTAAAAAAAATAACCGCAGGTGCGGTGTACGGAGACGCGGAGAGATGTGTGACTCAAAAACATTGTTTTCTTCTTTTTCTTTTTTCATTTTATTTGTTTTGTTTTTACGATTTTATTTGGACAAGCTAATCACTTGCAAGCCGGGATGTCTGGCGTTCGGTGCCCCCTTTCCCTTGAGCGTTTTGTTCTGCTCTGGCTTTCGTTTTCTCTTTGCTCCTGGGTCCTTCCGTTTCCCTTCCCGGTCTGGTGGTCCGTTGTCGTGAGTCTCGTGTTTCCCAGAGGTGTCTCCTTCGTTTCGAGTGTTGCTGCTCTTTGTTGCTTGTCCGTCTTTTTTTTTCCGGGTGTTTCGATTGTCTTGCGGCACCATACGAGCAAGGGTGAAGAGTTCAATTCGGTCATCGGTTGTGAATTCTCTGATGTTGTTGGCGCGTGACTCGATTGACCGTGTAGATTGCTGAGCCCAAAAAGTGCAAATCACTGACACTTGAGAGCAAGCTTGCTTTTATCAGAGAAGTTGATGTTGCCGCAATTGTTAGAAGTTTTATTTAGAACATCGCGCAATCAGAGGTAAAACAATTCCGGTACTTTGCTTATCCCGAAATTGCGCTTATCTCGAATTACTGTATAGGGCGTGCGATAGTATCGAGTGAGTGCCCACCTTTTGCTTTTTAAATATTTGAAATGTAGGCAAAGGACATATCAAGTGCCCACCCGAGCAAACTCCCGAGCTAATGCTCTTCCGCATCAGCTGCTTCTTCGAGAACACAAGACGAAGCGGTGAAGCTAATGAGAGTGCTGGTACGAAGCAAACTTAAATGGCAACTCTAGTCGAAAACGAAACAAAAATAAATGACTGGTATATGGTCACAGCCGAAATATTCCAAGGAAGTGAACCCGTGTACTCCACTAAAAACAATTTTAAAAATGCAACCATCTGCTCTTTAGCGGGCGGCAAGCGAGTTAGCTTTTAGTCAAGGACCACTGCCACAGCACCCTTATGACATCACGTCGTGGTGGAGCTGCCGCTACAACTTCCGTCAGGACATACCTCGAAATTGACGAATTTGCAGGAATTCGTCAATTCGTCAACATATCACACAACTTCAAACGGATAGGCTCAAAGTATGAAGTACCAGTAGTACTTTCAGCTCCAAACAAACTAAAAAAATTGTGTCCTAAGATTAATTCGCAAAATGAAAATAACAATGACTGCACCGTCAAGCATACGCACAAGTACGTCAACTGCAACATCAACGTAGTCTACGAAATTCCATTCACATGTGGAAAAGTCTATGTCGGACAATCTAGGCGCTGTGTGAACGTGAGACTTCGAGAGCATCGCCTTTCTCTGAAATCATCACCATCGGGACATCTCGCCATACGTGTCCGCGACTGCCACTGCACACCCATATTCCAACAGACTAAGATCCTCAAGCATTACCATAAAAAAAGATCCCGAGAACTCTATGAAGCGAAAACCATATTGTCTCTCGGGGGAGCTTGCATAAACGCACCTTCAATAGCACTGTCCGAGAAAGAGATGAGATACCTCGACCTTTTTTCTTAACGCGGGTCGCTTTAGTGTTTTCTAACCTTATCTTTGACCTGCTGATTTTGTTTATATTTCTGAATTTTTATTACATTCTTTTTTCGGTAGTGTCAAGTGGTCAGATTTAGTTTAAAAATTTTTTTAATGCATCTATAAACTATAACAATAATTTTTTCTTTTTCTTTTTTACCTTCACATGCCTAATTCTTCTTTTATGTCTTCCTCGGGGAATGCATTACACTTCCAGTTGGAGTAAGCGCTCTGTCCTGTCCCCTCTTCTTTTCCTTGGTGTTTGCGCTTTTGAATTTTTATACAATGTGTAGCCAACTAGCCCAACAGTTAATTTTGATTTTGTTGAATAATCTTTAGCGGGCTTCTTTTTCTTTCCTATTCTGACAATGTGACCGTTTGAGGTGATGACTGTACAGAAACCAGCAGAATGGCAAAAAAAAATAAAAATATCCATTGTATTTATGTTTTTAACCAAAGGGAAGTTTGAGAGAGGGTGTTAAGAAAGGTATTGACGGCTTTCCTCAATGTCCTCGATGTTCTCTGAAGTGCATGAAGCGAAAAACGTTATACTAGCCCACATCCAAACCTTTTTTTTTTTTTTGGGGGGAGGGGGGGGACCACGAACTTGACACACTAAGCTTGATCACAGAAAATACACAGATGTGCCTCAAAGGCCAATCCAAAACCTGTTTTGTTGCATGTTGAACTTTGGAAGACGGTAATCACGAAGACATCACACAATGTCGAACCTTGCAAAGCCCTCTCTCTCTCCCCCCGTCCCCTACCCACCTCGACGCAGCCCTAAAAAACTGGTCTTTTTCGGTTAAAACCGAATTTTAGAAAATGGATTAGACATACTTTAGCGGTTTTTATCGGTTTACACCGAAAATGCCGAACCTACAAACTGACTTTTTTCGGTTAAAACCGAATTTGCGAAAATGAATTCGGCGTACTTTTATCCGAACCCTAGTTATGTGTCTGGTGGGAAATGAGAGTGGGTTTTTATTAGTGATGGACTGAATCTGCCGAACTTCAGATTCGGCAAAGTTCAGCAAACGCCTTACTTTTGAAGGAAGTTTGGGCAAGGATTTGGCGAAAATTCGGCAAACGTCTGCACGCGCGTGATAACGCGACAGGGCCATGGATTGCAAATGGACGTTGTGCGGTTACCGTCATACAGTGTAGTATGGTAGTACTGCCAGCGGTTACGGCGAGGTGCGGAGCAGGCGACACTAGCTGTTTGTGCGCCTTTGCAAGTGTGGTTCTCTTCGTTATTTTCTGCCTCAAGAACTGTTGCAGTCCACTGTGCAAGTGACAAATGGTGCGGTACAATCTTGAGAGTGTGATCTTCATTTGATCTTTTCAGTAATGCGACGAGGTAGTTGCAACATTGACTGATAAGTACTTTAAAGCGCCCCTCACAATTATAACAGTCCCGTTTTCAGCTCGCAAGTAGTTTGTGCCAAAACAATATAATATTGCGTTTTAATTAGCTTTATTTTGCGGTTTTCATCAATCCGCATAAAACTAAACACATTTCTCGTGCTCGACGTTGCACATCCAACATTCCTAGCTCTCCCCATTTTCTTAAACGTCCGCGTGTGTCCTAACATCAAGAAGCGGCATTTTAAAAGTTAAAAACGAGACATTGGATCCCTGATTTTCTCTCCTCTCGCACTCATTTCACCACAATTAATAGTTCCTCATCCACCCGCGCTGAGGTTATTTCGGGAGTTTCCCAGGGCTCGGTTCTTGGTCCCCTACTTCTCCTGATCTTTATTAATGACATTCCAGGCAAAATTTCCTCTAACCTCCGCCTTTTCGCTGACGACTGCATCCTATATCGAAGGATAGCTTCTTTTGAAGACCATCTTCTACTTCAAAGAGACCTGGACGAAATCCAGGCATGGTGCACCAGGTGGTTAATTACACCAAACAAATCTAAACGCAAGTTAGTCCAGTTTTCACGAAAACGGCAAGGACCTCAGTTCTCGTCAAGTTAGAAAGTAACTTAGTCGGAGACTCCCATCCTATAAATACCTCGGTGTGACTCTAACTAATGATCTTACCTGGAACTCTCACATGGAGCTTATATGCGCCGAGGCGTCTCACTGCCTCGGTTACATAAGACAAAACCTAAAATCGGCTCCCCCATTCGTGGAAAATTGGCTTATGAGACATACATTTGACCCAAACTGGAATATGCTGCGGCCATTTGGAGCCCTCACCAAATATACTTATTAAATCTTCTCAAGGCAGTCCAGAACCGCACTGCCAGGTTTATTTTGAAGAAATATGATTGGTTGGTTAGTGTATCCGCTCTAAAGAGCGAACTGAACCTTCCTTTACTAAACGTCCGCCATAAGATAGCGCGACTCTGTCTTTTTCACAAAATTTACTACTACCTCCCTGCGCTCCAAGACCCGCTCCTCCTACCCCCAGGCGATCTTCATTGCGGCTAAATCACCCGTGTCACGTTTCCCACATCTCAGGCAGCGCATCCTATTTTAACTCCTCCTCCTTCCCTCATACTATTGTAGACTGGAACGACCTCCCCTCACTTACTGTAACCCAGACAGATCCCATCGCATTTCGCAACACTCTTTGTGCTCACTTCTGTTAATCCCACTGTGCCGCTCTATTTGTTTGTCCTGTGCTTTACTGGTTGCCATGTATCAATGTTTTCGTCCCCTTATGGTCCCCATGTACCCAGATTAATTTGTGTATTGCCGTTGCTCGTGGCGAGGCCACATTGTTTTGCAGCACCCCATGTATTTGCATATGTCCTTGTTACTGTTCTGTGCTCTCGTGTTATGTTCCCCCCCCCTTATGTAATGCCCTCAACGAGGGCCTTTAAGGGAACTTGAATAAATGGGATGCACACTTTCATGCAAAGCTGGCGTCAAGTGACTCAAATCGAAAAACATGCATATTTTCAATAATATTCTTTCTACTGGAGGAGGCTCAGCAACCGTTGCCTTCATTTTCGCTCACAGCACAGTGGCCGGTAACTCGCAGAGGAAATGAGAACACAGTGGTATTGCATTTATATTAACAAAGTACACACACTTGCAGGCCTGCACTTATTGAGGTCTCAAAACCGAAGCTCCGATATTGTGACTACCTGCTACTACCCAACCTTGTTATCACACCATTTCTTCAAGAAGTCACTGTAAAACTACTAATTAACACGCCAAAATAACATTGATGCAGTTATCTTGTAGAATATCACCTTATTTGGTCATTGTGTCAATAAACATTACATGTTGCATTTACTAAGTTAGGAAAAGTAAACGTAAAATCTTTTTTCGCCAGAAAAAATTAAATGTAAAAGTGTGGCCAACAATTTATTTTTGCCGAATCTTTAAAAAAGTTTGGCTAAACTTCGGCTTTGCTAAATGCACTAAATTTTCGATTCGGCAAAAGTTTGCCTTGTTACTAGTTTTTATCGGTTTAATTGTGCATAAACGAAAGAGTAGCCTAATAATTAATACGGATCCTGTGACATTCGACATACAATTTCGCTTCGATCCCAATCGAGAGCAAAAAGGCCACGCAGTGACATCCAGGTTCCTTTCCAAACCAAATTACAACCCACAGCTCGGAATGCACCGAGAAACTGCGAGAGAAGAGGAGACAAGTGGTGGGCCTAAAGCTAACTGACTTTGCCTCTGCTGCATTCGTCGAACAAGTTAGAATGCAGAGGGCCGGCGTATGGCTCTTGCATTCAAACGCATTCAACAAGTGTAGTGGAGACAAAAGTAGGCTTTAAGTCTACCCACTAATCATTCGAACCACAACTTAGCGGTCCGAAGTCCAGTGCACAGGTCCACAACGTGGTGCTTGCATTCTTTCGGGAGCTTCCTATGGGCTCTAAAAGTTGCTTATTAATCTTCCTTTTTTGTTGCACTTAAAACAAAGATTACTATACAACTTATAGAGCCTATAAAAAGCTCCCAAAGAACGCAAACATCTCATGACTATAGCGGCCAGTCACGTGACTATAGCAACCACTTTTCCGCGGGTTCCTGCAGGCTCCAACTATAAATTCATTTCGCACTGTAAATGTAGCTTGAAATATTTTCTTTCTTGTTGTAAATCTATTTGATGACACGCTTTTTCCACAGGCTGTTTAAAAAGATCTTTCCCTGCACATGTCCCTTAGGGTGTAAGCAACTTTAACTGGGGTATGAGACGGTTCAACTTTGATCCACTGCAGGCTCCATGTTCCTGCCTGCCAGTACGGCCCTCGGTGCAGGCCTGTACTCCATCAGCATGTACGGGGGTCTGGTCCTCTTCGGCGGCTTCCTCCTGTACGACACGCAGCGCATCGTCAAGATGGCCGAAGTCTACCCTCCTTACGCCCTCAAGCCGTATGATCCCATCAATGCGTGAGTTGCGTCTCCAGTCAAGTCGTGGGTAGTTAGTTTCTGAACTTTGCATACAAGTATCCTTAGAGCCACGGGAGACGGCGCGTGTATACATCTTCGTTCCACTTTACGACGATCTGCAGCGGACTCTGTGAGCCATTCCAGCCAAATTAGTGCTGCGAATATACCACAGACTACGCACCCTGCATGTTGCTGCACCCCCCCAAAAGTCACGTGACACTTATGTGGCATTTGATTGGTTCCGCTGGGCTGAGCCGACTATAAGATATATTTGTTGAAGATGGACATCAATGAGTGCTTCGATGGAACCCTGGAAAGGTTTTAGACTGCTTGAGTGTGTCTTCGTTTTTTTTTTTTTGCAATAACTGGGCAATCTACCTCCCAATTTGGTTTAAAAAAAGACAGCACTCAAGAGATGAGGAATACATGTCGGAGCAAGTCGTGCATGTTCCTTCGCGTAGCCCTTGTTCTTTAGGTGCAGATTGTTTTTGCGAGGTTGAATGCCTTTGGTTGATCACAGTCACTTTTATTATTAGTTAACTTCTTCAATTTTACATGCCTGCACCGAAAATCGCGCGTCCTAGCTCATCACTGACGGTCTTAAATTCTATGTTGGAAAGAGAATATGCGAGGCTATAAGTGTAATGTTGGGCGATTTGATGGGTTTATGTTGCCTCCATATCTTTCGGAAAGTAAATCCGGAAAGTGGCAATTCTTTGTGTTTGTCATCTTGCAGGTCCATCTCGATCTACCTGGACACGCTGAACATCTTCATTAGGATTGCAATGATCTTGGCTGGCGGCGGATCGAGGAGGAAGTGAAGGGCGAGAAACTCCTATGGATATTACAGAAAAAGGATAAAATTTTGTTTGCCATCCCCGATTAGAGGTTACCAACTGCCCTCTCCTGGTGTCAACTTCCTGCAGTAGAAAAGAAAGAAATAAAGTATTATTTAAGTAGGAATTGGTGCACTGCCACTTCCAAACATAATTTATGGATCCTTCGTGTACTGGATGACACTGTTACTGCAAACATGACGTTGGCAATGTTTTCAGTTTTATTTTGAAATGGTATCGTCGGGCAGCAAGGTTTACCGCTCAAGTAGTGCCCCAAGTGTGCACCTTCCACCACTCTTCTCGGTAGATATGATGACAGCCTTTAGATTTAAGAGAGGAGTATGAAAAGCCAGCGATTTCTTGTTCATGCTAAGTATTATGCAGTTTACATGCGTAATGTGCAGACAGTGTGTTGTTGGTTATTTTGAAATGTGCTGTATCATGGTATGCAACACCTTCTCTTCCATTTAGATTTGAAGCATTTAAGAAGAATGGCACATGTTTCACATTTTTGCACATTGTCTTACATTGGGTGGTTGCCTTGCCACTGCACTGCACATACTGCTCCATCACTCCCGAGCACAGGCACGTGCCTATGACATATGCAAGTGGGGTGAAACTTGTGAGGCAGAAAAAACTTGGTTTTCACACGAAAAGCAAATGAACTCGTGCCGAGGCGACAAAGGGAGGCAACCCAACCCCCTTGGCTCCCAACTGAAATTCCAAGCGTACAATGGACGATGGTTTCATTTGGTAGCTGCACAGTTTGCTGGGCGTTCCTTTAGAGGCTATGATGATAATGCAGTTAAATGCATTTAATTGCATTATCATCGTAACCTTAAAAGATGCAAGCCATTCACCCTTGTTGGTGTTAGACTGGTAGCAGCTGATAAAACCCGTTTGTTCTGACATACAACTCCTGGTTAGCTCGGTAGAGTGCTCCACTAGAAATGGGGAGGTCCCTTGTTCGATACCAGGACCAGGTGAATTTTTTCGGTCGTGCACCAGTCGCCTAGCTGTGTTTGGAGACTTGTGTTTGTCCTTCGACCCCCTTGTTACCCTTCTACAGGGATTGTTTTCATTCCTTTAGAACTTGGGTTCTCAAACTGGGAGTCCTTGAGTACCCAAATTTTCTCAAACAGATGAGAGAGGAGAGAAGACACACAATTGCTGACGATTGTTTGTCTTCTCTCTTCTGTCTTGTCTGTTTGCGCTATACATTTTAATCAAGTTCAAGCACTAATTAAGATTGAGCCATGCATTTGATTCGAGTCAAAACTATATGAGCCGGACAGTTCCAAGTGTGTGCATTATTCTTGAAGTTTGTAGGCTTCTGAACCACTTTATTGTAATAGTGCCAAGGGGAAAAGTGTTTCTTGGCTGTCGTTGAAGGTGGGTGGGTGTTTCTCCAAATTGGCAAGTTTGAGCGTGTGCTTCGAAGAAGCTTCTGTTCAGGCTCGATGTGTACAACGAGACTCGAGGCAGGTTCACTTAAGCTGCCGCCGTGCACCTTGAAACATTTACAAATATAGTGTGGCAGTAATTACTGCTAGACCAGCCAGATTTTTCAGGAAAGGGAAATGACTCGGGGTAAAAGTGTGCTTATAAGCAAGTTACTGTTTCGAAAGAAAAGTCAAGGACAAAAGATAATCATTGGTTTTGTTGGCTCTATTCGTATAATATTTTCAGAGGGCGAAGGGCCTACCAAGTCAACATGTTGATCTTTCTAACATACGAGTTGTACATTGCCTTTGTGACTGCCCTCGTCAATGTTGGGCTTTGGCACCCTAAATCTCTTTGCACCACTACCTGTCCCACTAGTAGTAGGGTTCCGCATTTCCATATGAATCCGATAAAATCTGAAACTCACCGGTAAAAAAAAAAGCTAAATTTATTTTCAAAAAATTGTTTGGAGATTGCTAGTTGTACAAACGGAACTAGTTTGATCATTTTTTGAAACATTTTTAATTCTATTTATTGGTTATTGTTCTTTTGTAAATGTCAATAGAATGTTTTTGAACCCTTAACGCAAAAAGGGGGGCAAGCTCCCTGCAACAGCAGTAGAGCACGGCTGGCCTTTCCAGCTATTCAAGTTCAGGTCTCCCTCTTGGACGAATGTTTCTCCTAGCTGTTCATTGATCATTCTCTAAACTCCTTTTGCTGAAGTTTGAAATTATATGCACATGCCCTTGCCCAAACTCCCTTGACAAGAGGAATTTAGGGAGATTTATCCCGTGAGCGACAGGGGAGGAAGCAATATCTTCATCATAGGCTGCTCCACAAAACAGCATTAACACTTCGATGCTGGCAGAACAGTTTTGCCAGCTAACTGTGCGACTGTTCTCTCCTGCAAGCGATTATATTGTTGGGATGACATCTCTTGCGAGACATCTCGGAATCAAAAGTGACTATGTCCTCCAGCGGTCTTCCTTTTATTGCCTGGATAGGACACATAGGTAGTAACATATATTTTCCCTGAACTTTTTTGGTGTCACCCTTTCCATCTTACCTTGTGGCCTCAGTCACCCTCAGAATTAGTACAAACCAAGGCTTCTGGGAAGCTTTTTCATGAAGAAGATTGTTGGCACTACGAACAGGAATGTTGTGTGCATTTGCAGACGTTTGATGCGGTAAATTTGCATCTCGCCTCTAGTATTTGGGCAGTGTCATTCATTCGCTTTCACCTGGACAAACGTTACAGCCTTTGTACCCGTATCATCAACGGCATCAGCGCTACTGGCAAAGGAGCACACTAGTAGCCCTTGGCAGATCCTCGGCTTGAAAGGAGACAAAGCGCTGTAATCAACTCTGGTCGAAAACGAAACCAAAATAAATGGCTCGTATCACTTTAGTGGCACGAATTCTGATCACAGCCGAAATATTACATCAAAGCGGAGCCGCATACTCCACTAAAACAGATTTTGAAGATGCGAGGTCTTTAGCGGGCGGCAAGCGGGTTAGCTTTTAGTTAAGGAACACTGGCGCAGCACGCTTGCAACGTCTCATCACGGTGGAGCTGCGGTTGATTGGCTTGTACCGCGTACCACAGCACCCTTGGGACGGCACGTCGCAGTCGTACGATTGATGATCAGTGTTGCCATCCCAGCGATGTGATTGGCCTAAGCCATTTTGGGGCACCTTTCGGAGTAGCCAAAAACAGTGTTTTGAAGCAGCAAAAGTGGCCTTTGGAGCAGCCAAAACAGCGTTTTGGAGCAGAAAAAGTGGCTTTTGGAGCAGCCAAAACAGTGTTTCAGAGCAACAAAAGTGGCTTTTGGAGCAGATATTCTTAGAAAAATAAAAATATTTCAGTGCTGTACAAACGAACGGCACTTTGTGTTGTGTTGCGACGGAACTCTCCGCTCGTGTTTTTACTGCCGAGCAGAGGTCGGCATTTTAGGTCGCCCTCACTCACCCTCACCCTCACAGCCACACTCACCTAAGCCCCTCACTCACCATCACCCTCACAGCTACACTCACCTTCAGCCCCTCACTCACCCTCACCTTCACAGTCACACCCGCCTTCAGCCCTTCACTCACCCTCACTGAACCTCACGGCCCTCACGCCCCTCACGGCCCTCACTCACTCATGGCCCTCATGCTCTTCACTCACTCATGGCCCTCATGCTCTTCACTCACTCATGGCCCTCACGCCACTCACCGCCCTCACGCCACTCACCGCCCTCACGCCACTCACGGCCCTCACCGCCCTCACCGCCCTCACGGCCCTCACCGCCCTCACGGCCCTCACCGCCCTCGCCGCCCTCACGGCCCTCGCCGCCCTCGCCACCCTCACGGCCCTCACCGCCCTCACGGCCCTCACCGCCCTCACGGACCTCACGCCACAAACCGCCTTCACGCCACTCACGCCACTCACCGCCCTCACGCCACTCACCGCCCTCAGGCCACTCACCACCCTCACGCCACTCACCGCCTTTGCGGCCCTCACAGCCCACACGCCCCTCACGCACTGATGGCCCTCACGCCACTCAGGCCAGCTTCAGATGGGGCAATTTCGCCCAGAAACTTGACGTCTCAACACTAGCAACACGGGCCGCCCGCGATCACGCGCAGCAACCAACCGCTGCAATTTGACATCGTCATCATAAAATTTTATTTTTCTTGCACTATTTAGACAGAATTACGCGTTATAAACATGTTTTTATGCATTTAAATCTCGTTAAGAATACTAATGCACCTTTCTGAAACAGTTTATTTCCAAAAAAAAACGATCGATTTCAAACCAGAACCAAGTCTTTCGGTGTCATCATCACCGGCACGAGGCATCACGTGAAAAATTTGCGTCCCTGATAGGATGCAGCCGCTTCAAACGCATTCGAATTGCTCCGAGTTGCTTGCTTATTTCGAGCCGGACCCGATCTCAGCAATTCGTGTCGATCTAGGGAAAGCTCGAGAACAACCCGCAATTAACACCAAAATTGCTGAGAAAGATGCTCGATCTGAAGGGGGCCTCACGCACTCACCGCCCTCACGCACTCATGGCCCTCACACACCTCATACACTCACCGCCCTCACGGCCCTCATGGCCCTCACGCCTCTCATGCCACTCACTTCCCTCACGCATTCATGGCCCTCACACCCCTCACGCACTCACCACCCTCACACCACTCACGCACTCATGGCCCTCACGCCACTCACCGCCCTCACGCCCCTCATGCACTCATGGCCCTCATACACCTCACCGCCCTCATGACCCTCATGGCCCTCATCGCCATCACGGCCCTCACGGCCCTCACGGCCCTCACCGCACTCACCGCCCTCACCGCCCTCACCGCCCTCACAGCCCTCACGGCCCTCACTCACCCTCACACTCATGAATTTTCCTGGTTCAGAAACTCACTCACCCTCACCTCACCTGTGAAGATGAGGGTGAGTGAGGGTGAGTAAGGGCCCTCATGAGTGAGGTTTGCCGAGGTATGCTGCCGAGACATCCCACAAGTGTACAGCGCTGTAGGCGTTGCCGAGCAGTTCTGAAAAGCTGTTTACCACCGTTTTACTGGTTTCCGACGTGCAGATTTTAGTCGAAATAAGGAAACGTAAAACAATGGATTGCAAGCGTCCCGACTGGTACCTCTATCGTGCAATCATATACGCATACACGCGAGGGCAACTTCGGCAGGCTTGCACTTGCACATGCTTCATCGTGCAAGCAGAGACAACAGCTGTTCAGTAGAAACCGAAACCATGCTTTTTCTGCTCAGTTGCCAACTGGTTCCCAAAATTGTATACGAAATGTAACTGTCTAGCATGTGACGAAAACAGTCCAGCGGTGCGTGCTTGCCAGGCTAGCAGGCAAGGTACAAGCTAAACACACAGAAAAAAAAAACCAAAGCGCATCAATGCAAGACATTATGAGCCATGGTCAAAATGTTCTGGCAGTGCTTTGTGCAACGACTGAAGTCGAGACAAGTGCGCTGTGTGGGTTCAGCGTGCAGACATTGCCTTCTTTGCTTTAGCTCACTTGTCTTCAACTTTCTTTTTCAATTTTCACGTACCAGGTTCCATCTCGAAAGAAAGCCCACTGAGAGAAACCTAGGCAGTCAATCCTTTGACACAGCAGTCAGAGTTAAAGTGGATTTTTGTAGTAGCGTTTGATTTAAATTGACAGGAATGTTGATGAACATGTGGTAGTACTCATGTTTCAGTTTAGAAAGCGCCATGTCTGCAGCGACATGGGGACGGCAACACCAGACGTCGTGCGACCACGGTGACTGGCGGGCGGGACCAAATATAGTTTCGTCACAGTCGTTGCTTTCGGAAGAGAGTGCTTCAGCTCGCGAAGTAACTCCCGCCACGGAAAAACCTAGTTTCGTTTCACAGCATGACGGCATGGCTGGTACTTGGCACGCTAGTGTTGGAGCGTCCGTCGTTGAAAAATTTTGAAGACGCAAAGTAGACGACGAGAGCGCAGAACGAGAGACAGCGGGGAAAAACCACGCAAGACAAGATGGACGATTGATGCAAAGTACTTTGTGTCGGGCAGCCGCTTGCGCCATTTAGCTCATGCATGCTCAATTACGGTACTCTGTTTAGTTTCGGTTTTGAAAGGCAACCGAAATTGGTCCTCTGGCGCAGGCTTGGTGCAGATTACCCATATTTTGGCAAGATGTAGCAGGGTTAGCCCCTTGGCGCAGCAATCACATCGCAGGATGTTATCCCTCTAGCAGATAGTTTCGGTTTTTCTGTAGATGCCCCGAAACCAAGCTTTGAGCCGCAACATATATAAGACTACATGCAATATCGAAAAAAAATATATATACACCTTGTAATTCAGGGACGCTGCTTTAGCTGAAAACAGCCGTAATCCCAAATTAAGAAATACTGACCGGAGTTGCTCTTTCACACGAAAGAAGAAATGGTCAACAGGTTTCAAAAGCTGGCCGGGCATTTATTTCTGCAAAGTTTTGCGCAGAACAGAAACTTCGCAGGTAACGCTCTTCGTTTTTCCCCAGAGCCCGCCAGGGAAGTTTGTCTCGAGAGATTCCTACAGCCTTATTTTGATTTCCAGCCATTGCTTAGTATTAACCCCTTGCCCCCTCCTCACTCCTAAACATACACACACTGAGAGACAAGCATACAAAGCAGCCGGGAATACCACAAGGACTCGCGTTATAATTAAAAACATTACAGTTGCTCCGAAAAAGATATCTATGACCTCTATTGCTAGCAATGCCGAAAGGTTATGGCTAGAATCCCGGCCAATGATAAAAGATAAAAATGCCTGCACATTCCTCGCACTAGTCACTACGTAATTTGAACAAGCACAGCGAGCAATTGCACTTTAAAGTATGACATAGACGCAAACAACGCCAAATGTGTTCGCCACATTCCTGGGGTCGCCTCCAAGAGAGAAAACAATATGTACACTATGTTACAAATCGCCGTCGCGTTACGGCGAACCTGGCCAGTTGAATCACTGGGGGCTAGTTGTAATTGCGATATATAGTATAGTAGGTTACGGTCCGAGAAATTCGGTGGCATGCCGAACCTCCGTCGGATCGTGGACTGGGCAAAGAAAAAAAAATGTTCTCGAGGCTCTTTGGACTTGTTGGGCCGTTCCTCGGCAGATGTTGGCCTCGGCGCTGGCACAGAGCGACGTAGCGTTCCTTGGCACTTTGGGAGAGAAGACACTGGCTGCAACTTCCTCGACATCTGACGCATCATCAGAGCGTCGAGAGTAAGGAAGGCAGACTGTTGTTGTTGTTCCTAGGACACGGGCTCAGGAGCTGTTCTTGTCCCACTGCAGTGATGGGATTATCCTGCAATCAAAAGGAAACCAAAATAAATCATTTACTCTGGAGAGCAGAGAATGGAATGTTTTTCCGTAAGCTTCTGTGCATGCGCACGCCCTCTCCCCTCGCCTTGCTTCCCAGTCTTCATTTTCGCAAGGCACATCCCACACGACCAACACTGTCAACGCCTATCTTTCTACATATTTGATCTTTTTTGTCTATTTGTTTTCTGGGTGTCAGTAGCATGGGGCATAAAAAGCAAGGAAAACCGACTCAATGGCACAATGTCAATGTTGTTTGACGAGCAAAGTCCTGTTGGGCTGCCCTTCATTTGTAGTTTACAGACAAACCACCACATGGCTCACTCTACTCGAAAAAGGTCCATTTACCACAGCAATGATGTTACGAATAGACTACTTCCATAAAGCCCTGCATGCAACTCAGCGCACGTTGCAGCCTGGGAACTAGTTGGCCAGGGAGGTAAGTGGCATGGTTTCGGTTTCGATCGACACGCCAACAAGAGATTACACACAGAGCGTGGACTATTAACAGCCGTTATATCATGTTTTCTGGTCCCGAGAGCGTCATTTGTGGTCTCTAAACTAAACTAAATGGCCAGACCTCGAAGCTTTAGCACAAGCCCGAGACGTATAGCTTGTCTTAACATACCGTATTTACTCGAATCTAGGCCGATAGTTTTTCCAAAAAAATTAAATCCGAAACTCGGGGGTCGGCCTAGATACGAGGATCCGGCTCCGCCATGACAGCGGGACGCCATCTTGTCTACATCGCTTCGGGAAGATACGCTGTGTACCACGGAACGCACGGAACGTTCGTCTCTACTCGACGCTATGGCATCGACCAGTCGATGCCACTACTCCGCGGCTTTTAAGAGGAAAGTTGTCTTGGCTGCTGAACACTCGTCCAACCTGCAAGCCCAGCGCGACTTCGGCGTGGACGAAAAAAATGTGCGTCGCTGGAGAAAGCAGCGTGGTCAGCTCTTTGCATGTGCGGCAACAAGAATGGCGTTCTCAGGACCGCGGAAGGGAAGGCACCACGAGCTGGATCGCGGCCGCATGGGACGACATCCCGGCGGAACTGATAGTAAAATCGTTCCGAAAGTGTTGCATCTCGAATGCCCTGGACGGTACGGATGACCACGCGTTGTGGGAAGTGGTCAGTGACAAAGATACGAGTGAGGATGACGAATGATCAGAAAAAATGCGGACATTAACCGTGAGCATGCCGTCGGATTAGTGACCGAAATAGTGCTGTACATTGCAGATAAATTCCGTTCTGTGTTTAATTTATGGTGTTTTTCCTATACTTTTTGGTCGGCCTAGAATCGAGAATTTTTTTTTTTTTTTTTCGGCCCTGCCGTTTTTGCGGGGTCGGCCTAGAATCGATGCCGGCTTAGAATCGAGTAAATACGGTATGCTTGTTGTATTTTTGTACTTGAGCCTTTTTGTTAGCGTTTCGAGGTATGTGGACGAGCCAGTGCTGGGAATGTTGACGCTGCGAAGCTCGGGGATCTTGCTTATGTATGAATCAAAAAGCTGTAGCAACCAATAAGTATGCTTACATCGAGCTCGCGCCTTTACATTAGTGTTGTAGATCAGGAAGTTTGTTTGTTTCGTGCGTCCATAGACGAAATATTACTTTTTGCAATTACTGTTTTCTTAATACGCCTGAGTACGAGAGGTAAAACTCGGAGGCGCCATTGAAAATCTCAATTGTAACACACTTCTTATCTCTTATCTGTACTGACCCGGAGCACTGCACGAAGCGAAGTCCCCATCCACTTGCATCTTACTAATATTCAACATCGCGTATGCGCATAACGTTATCCTGCAATCGTATAGGCATATTCACACATACAAACCATTTTAAAAATGCAAAAGTTGAGCACTTGTGTGAAAAATGTCGCACCGGATGGGCATGAACCCCTATGCAGTGCGCCAAACGAACAAAATTATTCAAAGTGCATTTGACGGTTGCTAATGGCCATAATATTTGTTATCTCTTTGCTTTTTTCCTGCCTGAGTATGCTGAGATAATTTCAGACACACCGTTTAGGCACAGACCTTGGGCATCAGTAAAAGCTCTTCCAAAAAGGCTTAGCGAGGAGTAGGGGACGCTTGTTATGGTCTCCGTTGTAGCTAGTCGATCTCAGCATTTGCGAAAACTTAATCTTCTATCAGCATAAAATTTGAGTGGGAGATATATGATGACACGAAGAAGACATCATAGTAACTTTGGTGCAATAGTGAGGTCGAATTTATTGAGTTTCCTTAAAAGTTCATGCGTCAGTGCTGAGCTCAACTTTGATACTCCTGTGAGGATGCAGCTTGCTTTTCGCCCAATGAAGTAACAAGAAGCGGACGTTTGGCAAACAAAATACGTGTAAGGCTCCAGGTGATCAAACTTCAGCTGTAGTTCACTGGTACTAGACGGGATTATTGAAATTGAACTCAAAGGTAAGGTGACTAAGCCACATCTTACTACGTTTGCATTCGCACTCATAATATCCGGTGTTTCAGGAAGCAAGGAAAGTGCCCCGGTCTTCGTTTTGTATCGCTCGAGAATGACTGTATTGTACATTCGTAAAAAGTCGGATAATCGAAAACGCAAGCAGCGCGTTCAGCCGCTGCTCAGTCGAAACCGATACTGAGCGGCCAACTAGTTCCCAGAGTGCACTGCATAGTATTTTGCCGCGATGGGGCGCATCAGTTTTGGAAGAAGTCCATTCTACGTATATGTTCTTGAGTGCTATTTAACTATGAAAAAAATTGTATAATGAAACCAAGGAACAGAGTGCATTGAAACTGCTTTCAAAGATGTCTTTAAGTGGTGAATTTGTCATGCTCAAACTTTAAGGGGAGACATTTTCCAGAAGAAAAAATTTCTGCAAAAAAGTAGATTTTAAAAGGTGCCATATTTACATCTTCCAACATCTAGCGAGTACTACTCCCAGAAAGTTTCATTTGTTTACACAGCAGTTTTTTTAAATTATTTTCAGTCCACTAATGCTGAAGAAAACGTAGAGGGTTGAGCACTTCACACCCGTTTTTCTCCGTTCCACTTTTTGGCATAAATTTCACTTTAAAGGGTACCCTAACGATTTTATCATGGTCAGTGATTTGCCTCAAAATTGGCCTAACACACCAATGGACACGGCTGTACCAGTTCCCCAAGTATACTGTGTGAAAAGAAAAACATTTCGCAAAGTTATTGAATTTTCTGATTTTGTTTTCATTGTTTCTCAAACCGAGAGCCCATACTGGCAACACTGAAGTGTGACGACAGAAATGGTAAAAAATAAGCAGTAAGCCATGTTCCCAACTGATCAGAAGATGATTGATGGTGCAAAAAAAAAAATGCTTGGAGCTGATTCCCTGAAAAGCACGCAAAAAACGCTCAACATACTCTGTTGAACAATACCTGCACGACCTCAAAGTCTGTACCATTTGTGACGTCACACCACTGAACAGCGTGTGGAAATTTGAATGTTGGTTTTGGCAGCATCTTCATTTAATTTTACGGTTTTCTAAATTGCCATTTTGAATTTCGAGAAAATAAATTGCATACCGTGAAGACTAAAGTCCGGGTATTCAGAAAATGCAATTTGTTTGGGTAGCTTAAAAATGGCCAGAGCACCCCTCTAATAAATCTATCATTTCAGTATGATTTTATCGAGACTTTTTGCAAAAAAAAGTGAATGTGAAGAAAAAATATTTTTCTATTTTGTTTAGCTGGAAATTTTATATTTCTTAAAATTAATTTTTATAGTAGCCGGCAACAGGTATTCTAGTGAGCATTCCACCAGAATAATATGTGGTTATTAAAACTGTTTCTCAACGACAGGTTAATTGAGCAGATTCCATGCCAAGCTATGCTTTACTTCGTTCTGGAGGTGTAATATCGCAAAATTGGTCCACAGGCCTGAAACCTTGCAAGCCTTCCTTCTATATAGCCACAAACACCACCTGCAAACTTCACACCGATTGAGTGCGCGGTTCCAAAGTTGACATTCCCAGGTTGTGTACAGGGCACCGATCTGTGCATCGGGCAACACCACAAGCAGAGGCGAACTTAGCATTTTGGCACGCTAGGCAATCTTCAACATGGTCAGTGACCACGGGAAGTAACTAAGTTTGGAGTTAAAAATTTCAGAAGTAGCTAAATTTGGAGCTAGCATTCCCAAAATAGCTGAATTTGAAGCTAGATGTAAGAAAAAAAGAAGAAAAAAAAAAGAGCCTATTAATTTGGGGGTGGCTACAAATTCGCCGCCCCCAAAATTCTGCCGCACTAGACAGCTGTCTACTCTGTCTATTGGAAAGTCCACCCCTGCACGAGGCTCGTAAGGCAGCCTACAGCTCCGCCCGGACTTAGTCACAGGGTCAAACAAAGTGTGGCGAGTATAAAGAGTCTTGTCTCTTCTCAGCCAGTGAGATTGTGGCACTAGCCCATAAGACCACCAACTGACGGATCGCAAAGCAAGAGGCAACAACGTGCTGAGCCACGCCCTGCCTTCCTCAGGTTGTCAGCGACTAATGAGATGCAGCAAAGCCAACCGGGACTCACAGTGTGGTGTCGCACGAGGTCCCTGAGCTTGGGGAAGACCACCTGGTTGGAGCCGAAGAACTGGCAGTGGCCCAGGGAGGCGTCGATGAGGTAGTGCTTGCAGCGGTCGCCCGCCCAGTACGAGATGACATAGCCGCGGATGCGCTCGTGTACGCGGACCAGGAACGAGCCGGCCGCCTGGCGCTGGAGCAGCTGCTCCGACTCGGACCTCGTGATGAACCCTGCGGAAGCGGAGAGTGCGGACCACGGGACTCGAGATTTGCTGTTTGCTCATTGGAGAGAAAGCTGGCTCCAAATAAAAAGTATAGTTAGCTGTAAGTTCAGTCGTAATGGAATAAGTTAACTTGTAACTTAGTTCATTTGTAGTTACTTCCTCAAAATTCTGTTGCCAACTTTATATGTTTGCATTTAATTAAGCATTAGAACCATCTGTCATCGCTGCTGGACACTTTAGCAAGAGCAGACTGCTGAATCGGAAAGATACTGTGCCAACATGGTTGCCGACTTAGAAAAGGAAACTTTGGTTAGCAGTTGAGGTTGGAGGCATGTTTCTCTCGGGTGTAGCCCAAAACAACCCATTCCCGTTTGAACCCGTCCTGTTTTAACCCATTCCCAAAACGACCTTCCCGTTTGAACCCGTCCCGTTTCGACCCATTCCCGAAACGACCTTCCCGTTTGAACCTGTCCCGTTTCAACCCGTTCCGAAAACGCCCTTTATATTTGAACCCGTAGCCAAGACATTTTACGTTTGAATTCGTCCCGTTGGAACCCGTTGGTATAAAGCCCCGCACATCTCAACCTCTTCGCGAAAAGTACCCATCGTTCTAATCATGGTTTGCACAGTTTTTCTGCTTAAGAATATGTCCCGAAATCATGTTAATGCAATTAATGCAAAGGTGCAGGCGAGCAATTCAGTTATGTAGTGAAATATTTTTGCTTGTAAACATATTATTAAAATATGCAATACTTTCAGACAAGCTTCAAGGAAATATATTTCTACTTGAACCACTTAAAATGTTTCTTTCAAGATGGTCCCCAAAATGTGTAATTACGAAATGGACTACGTACACTGCGCGACAACGTTACCACGAACACGATCTTGGCGATTTTTTGAATTTTACTTCGAAATGGTATTAGAAGGTACCACATTTTACCACTTAGGTTAGTGGCCCAGATGAGCACTTTCAAACACACTAGTAATATTGATGGCCGTCTTCTGATTTTTCTTTAGACAAACAGCTAAAACCAACAATCACTTGTTTGCGCTAACGGTTTCGTGTTCTGTACAATAACAGGGAGCTTTCGTAGACCGTTTTCGAAGTCACGCGACGCTCCTCCACAACCCGCTACGATACCTAGAAGTCTACAGTCAAGGCCATCGGCATGCAGGCGCAGTAGCGGCTTCTTCATGGCGGAGGGCTTAGCAAAAGGAGAAACACGGTATACGAAAGCACCTAACGAAGTCTTAGAGTAACGCAGGCAAGCACTTTGAGTAAGCAAAAATTAGTGTTGCCTAAGTTTTTATATCGCGACGCTACTTTTAGGTTACCCAAAGCGCTTACGTGCGTTATTCTAAAACTTCCTTATAGTAATTGGAATACTTTTTAAAAGTGGTAAATCAGACAGGCTGACGGGCATATGATTGCGACTTCATTTTCTTACAAGTTCAAACACAAAACCGTCGCGTACACAGCCAAAGATCATAAACCACAAAATGCTGTCGCCTTGGTTGAGGAAGTCGAGAAGGAAAATCGCGCCACAGAAAGGCGGCACTCCAATTGTGATAGTTTGCGGCAATCACCTGGCCCGCACGGCACCACCATTTGCCAGCTGCTGCAGAGATATCCTTGTCAAGGCCCCATCCCGTTTGATCAGATCAGTGAAGCTGTAAATGTTCGCGTGAGCCCTCCCTGACACAGCGTTTATCTTACGGTGCCATGTCTCCGAGGTTGTTTCGGGAGGGGGAGAAGTGATGTGAGCAAGGAGAACAGACACTGGACACTTGAACCTAAACAACTGTTAACGAACAATACAAACTAACCGAACGATGGCCGAAGCGGGAAGGTTGTTTCGGGAAAGGGCGAAATGGGAAAGGATGAAGCGGGAAGGTACAAACGGGAAGGTTGTTTTGGGAATGGGTCGAAACGGGAACCACCCGTTTCTCTCTAGTGCCTTCATGAGAAAGCAGTCCAAGGCTTTCATGGTGAAAAACCATGTCAGTTTGAGGGGGAGTAACATGAAAAAAAGAGCTCTCTTAGAATGCAGCCATTCCTGCACTAATTTTTAACTTTAATGCATCGGTAGAGTAAAAATTATTCAATTGACGTTGAAACAAGCCATTGGAAGTTGATTTATTTTAGCTAGATGCAACACGGCCAACATTTCCTTCATTTTTAGTTATATATAGCTATACTCAACGTCACTTATTTTGTGCTACGTTGTCAAGGCTAGCATACCTCCTGCAATGCCCCAACTCCGTCAAAGCGGCTCGCTATTTTGAATGAAACGCGAGACAAAGCCACATGCTCTTGCAAAATTGCAGGGCTGCTGCACTGTGGAAGCTATGCAGAGAGCAAGTCATCTGCTTCTTGTACAGGAGTTGCGGTGACATCAGAAAGATGCCGAGCTCCGACTGGCTTTGATGAAAGGATAGTGGGTAGACCTCAATGCTAAATGCCTTGAGGTCTACCCACTATTTTTCTTCAATCAGCCAATAAGAGCTCGGCGTTTTGACATTGCAACCATTGAGCAAGAAGCAGACAAACTTCCACTCCGTATATGCTAGTCTCGACGGCGTAGAACAAAATAGTTGTTAAGTATATAGTCTTGCAGTCGGGTTTGTTTGTTGAGGTTCCGCGCTAGGAGAATTCAAAGCAGTCATCTTTTCTAATATTGTGCAGGGGGGCTTGGGCATCAAACGAACGAGAAAAGTTGAAGATGCCTCGCTCACCGTGGAACCATATAGCCGGGTTGTTGCAGTTGTGGTCCATGACTGCACCTTTGGGATACTCCTCCTTCAGGAACCATTCCATGATGTCCGCCTTGTTGAATAATTTGGCATCTTTGCTTCTGGGGATGGATAAAAGCATCAGTGCGTTACGACCGAAAGAGCTGCAACCACCTCATTGTTTTTCGTGAGCCAAAAGATTGACTGCCAGCGCTTCAGCAAAAGGAGACTACAATAAAAGAAGGGCAGGTGCTTGATGATGATTTCCACAAGATGCAAGTCACGAGGAGCATTTTGCTGCTTAAGATACAAGACGAGCCCTAGAGAGTTGGTTCCAAACTGACAAAAAATGGTGCTCCACTTTCCAAACCATTTTCATTTATATCTTTTGGTGGCGGATCAGACAGTCATCCAATCTGCTGCCAGCAGCAACTCGCACGAGTAAAGAAAAACTCTTGAACTTACTACCTTCTGTGGCCAAAGTACTCCGAAATAGTAAGACGCAACAAAAACAGAAAGAGCATCTTCCTGGAAAATTGCAGCTTCTTAAGTTAACACTCTTGATTTCAACCCCAGGTGTGCATTATGGCTCAGTTCCCATGGCCGCCACCCCACGGCAAATTATTCCTGTTCTTTGTTTTGCTATTGCACAATGGAATCACAATATTTCAAAAGAATGAGGTGGTTTCTCAACCCCCTTTGGTGAGACGTACAACGTGAAAATTAAAAAAATGCAAATTCTTTCCCCAACAGATACAAATCGGGTGATGAGGCCAAATTGGGAGCTCACCTGGAGGTAGCATGGGACGGCAGAGGCGCAGTTTCGTTGTGGCCATTGAGAGAAACGTCCACCTGGGGGACCACTGGGACAACCTTGGGGGGCACATTAGACCTGGGCACAGCGTCCTCCGACTTCGCTTCGGCTGTGACCACGGGGCTGGTCCCATAAAGGAGGCCCCTGCGGTGCTCTTCGCGTGCGAGACGCGCAATCTCGCGTATCTGCTTCTCCACCTCCTTGGCACGCTTCTCTGCAAAACAGAGGGCACAGACATTAGCACAGACATTGCCATCGACGGTGAGGTGGAAGTTAGTGTGCGGCTTGAAACTGGTCCCACAAAAAAGACCCATTTTGCACCCCATTAAAACATCAAATGAGACAAATTTAGCAGGAAATAAGCTTGAATGGCATCATTGTGTACCACAATCACACCTATAGCATCCCAATTGACCATTCTAGAAAATCCCGCAAGCCCTCTCGGCAATCCCATATTGCGCCACGCAATGTGGGGAGCCATGGGTGTTTTATGAACCGCTCCTTCAATTCGGGTACTCTTTCACACGCACCATACATCAGATTTCCGTAATCAGTCAAAAAGGCGATGGGGGACACCGCTCATTTCCAGAATGGTCTATTCAATTGTGCTTTCTGGAACGACTCCTTTGGCTGATCACCAAAGTCACCGCACTACAACTAGGCAAGTTTTACAATCACCGACGAAAGGCCTGCGGCTTGTCGCACCTTGCTCCATCCAGAGTTCTTCCTGAACCATGCTCTCTCGCTCTGCAGCCTCGAGGCTCTTGCGTTGCTGGGCCTTGATCTCTTGGTAAATTTCGTTGGACCGCTGCTCCATCAACTGCTTCAGGTTCTCCTCACGGTTCTGCACATTTAAGCGTGGTAGGTTAGTCATCACTGTGGCGGCTTCATCGTTCTCGTGAACATCTGCTCGCTACTTTGTCAATTCGTACCTGTTATTAAGTAAACTTTCGAAATCACGAGCCTTTTCTTTTGTTTCTGTGGAATGGTACCCTATATGCCCTGTTAACAAACACATAATTAAATGTTTTATATAGTAACAATGTTTTAGTGTGCACTTTTTATTGATTTAGTGTTCAATTTTTAATGCTTAGTTTTACAAGCCTCCCGATCATTTTCTGTTTCTCCTCACCCCTTCTGTGGTGCGCGCATATTGGCCCTCGTAATTTAACAAGCGACAACGTGTACGCTATCAAAGTTTAAAAATCTAGACAATTTCGCTCTCATAATGTTTAGATGCCCAGTTCACTCTCATTTGCAGTTCCAGGATTACAATTAGCGTCGAGCGGCAAACGTTGGGAGAAGTAGGGGTCCAAAGTTTTCAGTCCATCCAATATGTTGTAATGACTAGACATAAAGAAGCGGGAATGCCCGTGCGTGCACATTATCCTCCCATAACGGGATAAAGACTCGCACAGGCAGAAGAAAGAGGGATAAGAGAAGTTGAGTGGGTAAGGGAAAGAAAATTTGGATAGTGTTGGCACGCCATTCGAATCATCGACTGCAGATGTACGGGGTAGGGTGTGTTGCCTAAAACTATGTTGAGTAAAGAAGCAGCTCAGAATGTGCAAGGTGTCAAACTATACACTCCGTGCGCCACAACCAGCGTACCGCCGCGCGGCCGTTACTGAAGATAGGCAGAGAGAACCCCAGTGAAACAAAACCACGCCACATACATTGGTATGCATTGAAGTCGGAGCGGTGCGGTTGCGCACGGTTGACAGCCATGAACTGCTGCCTTGTTAAATGCTCTAATAATCATGCGTCATGTCTCAAGGGGACGAAGTTTAGTTTTTCAACTCGCCAATGTTTTGTGGGACAGCAACAACAATAGACTCTTGCCGTACGACGCGAGAAATTAGGTCTCCCGATCACGTCTGCCACTGTGTCGGCACGGCTGACATATTCTACACTGCCGCTTTGCACTCCAAGTTTGTTTCTGTACCAGTAGCACCTACATATGTTAGTGCCGCTGCATATGTAGGCGCTAACGTATGTTACTGCATGCTGGCTTTTGACGCTTTTCATCAAAAGCCAGCAAGCAGTGCGATTGATAGAAGATGTCAAATTTATTTTCTGGGATATATAAGAAGCGGCAAACAGCTAGATGTCCTTTGTAGGTCCGCCCCAGCCCTCGTGCAACGTCACCCTCAACGTATCAGCTCAAAAAGCCAAAGTTCCATCCATGTGCGCTTCCGCCGCTACAGCTTCGCACGCGAAAAAGAGCCGCAGGTTGCTGAACAGGTCTCACTGTCGAACGCCAGCTCCTCCGTTAGCACCGCTACATGCGTTTTTTGAATTGCCACCTTTAGTTCCTGCACGAAGTGTATATGCACACATAAAAGGTATTAAGACACAAAGTGTCACGGCAGCCGGCACAAAAATCAGCAGCGTATAGTTTCACCCACAGCGTGTAACCCAGGTGGTGACCAAATAGGCAGAGTGCTGCTCACGGTCGGGCAAAAAGAAAGAAAGCCAAACAACGACACCTCCGAGAGCCGCCTTTGCCCCTCCCCGCTCACCCTGATCTCCTGCTGCTTCTGTGAGAGCCAGGTGTTACGGTCCACAGTAGGCGAGGTGGCCTTGGAGCCCACCACGGAGCCCTGGAGCAGGGCCGCCACCTCCTTCTCGAGGGAGAAGCACTTCTCCAGGGGCGGCTTCTTGCGCCGCAGCTGCACCACTTCCCCTTCCACCTCAATCTCCAGGGCTGTGGGGCGGGGTGGAGATGCCGGGGGTGTGGTCGCAGGGAGGGCCGGCACCGGTTCAGTCTCCGCCTCCTCCTGGTTCCTGTAAACCACCGGCCAAAACGCCCCAGTTTTAGTCGACCAGTGTTTTCTTCCGAGACATGGTTCAATCTCTGCCCTTACTCAAGTTGACCTGGATGAGCACCACCCAGCAGGCATTAGTGTAATAGCTAGTGCAAAATACATGTTGAAGTCCCCACATTTGCAGTCATATTGCACCATCCGAATTTCTCGTCTACAACAGAACAGGGCATCCGTTCATGAAGGAAGAGCGATCCGACATTGTCTAAATGCTCAACGTCTCGCTTGCTTTTGGAACATTTTGTATGGCTCTACACGTTGTGAGTCGAGCATGGCTCGGTGACTAAGAAATATTTTATTACAATTATGCAATCTGCTGCAGGTAATGCTTACGCAGCAAAACTTTTTCGAGCACAGCTCTGTGGGACAAGGCACCCACTTCCACAGAATCGGAAACAAGATACGTAACTCCTCAAATAAAACAAACTGCAAAGTTCTACTCCGCGAAAAAGTTGCCCATATCAAAAGAGGGCTTAAAAAAAATCTACTATATTGGGTGTGCTAGAAATTATTCCTACAGTAACTTACACCTTAATACTGCAGGATTCACACTAATGTACACCCCAGTAATGAGAAGGTTGGCTCTTCTGAGCTATGGGCAAGAAGACGAAGGACGCTCAAGCAACTTCACATCTTATGTCTACAGCACTTTCATCCACATTTAGCTACCGCTTCTAATTTTCACTTTACATTCCACCATAATAATGTGCTGGATGTACACAAAGACAGACATCGAGAAATACCCGTTTTATAAAAATTAATTCACTAATTTGAATTTACTTACGAGAGCCCGCAGACTTTTGTTTATTGCTTCTGTTAAGCCTTCGAGTGCCACGCCCAAGCATACTTGGGCACGCTAAGTAAGGTTTCAATTTCGGTGTGCTCCCTGCCCCTCCCAACTAAACTGTAATTTTTTTTTTTTTTAGCGCAGTTTTTATGTGCTTGTTTCCGGCTTGAGCGGCGTTGACGTCCGTGTAACCGCGCGGTGCATTATGGAAAATGTCCCATAATGCACCGCGCGAGACCCTCGTGACGTCACGAGCGACGTTACGAGGGTCCCGTGCGGTGTATTATGGGACATTCCCCATGATGCACCGCACGGGCAGGAGGAGGACGACGAGGGGGAGGGGGAGGGTAGGGGGAGGTGGAGGAGGGAGAAGGTGGGGAGGAGGAGGAAGGAGGAGAAGGCAAGGATGTAGGGGGAGGAGGATGAGAGGAGGGCCTTGAAGAATAAGGGGAGGAGGAGGTAAAGGAGGAGGAGGAAGAGCAGAGAGGAGGGGAGAAGTAGCAGAGAGGATGAGCAGGTGAGGAGGAGGGAGGAGGGTATACCTTCCCCTCAGTAGCCTTGCCCCGTCCTGCTCAAGAGCTGCACTCTAATTCGGCGTTACAGAGTGTTGCAAACCTCTTTCTTTTTTTTTTTAACATGTAACAGCAAGTGTGATTAAGTAACAAAAACAATGGTTTATACAGTCGAATCTCGTTAATTCAAACTCGAGGGGGACCGAAAATTTGTTTGAATAAAGGAAAGTTTGAATTACCAGGAGTTCCCTCCCATAGAGAGGCATAGGATGGGACCTGCATGTTAGTTTGAATTATCCGCAAGTTTGAATTAAGAGAGTTTGAATTAATGAGAGTCGACTGTATTATGGGGTCGCTTTTTAGTGGTAGGTAATTTTTTTTTCACGCAACTTTTGTTTTTGGTGTGTTTCTTCATTGCTAAAGAATGGCGAACCTACATTGTTCAACCTCACGCTTTGAATGCCGAGACCCAGAAATTATTAACAAACTCTGTATTCGACGACTGGGAAAACGAGAAAGTTACAGCTCCAAAAAACAAAGGCCGAGTAAGGCCACTCGAAAGAGCGACCCCCGGGGTGCGAGATCAGTGTATCATTGTATAGTATGGTGTCGGGAAAAGTACAATATACAAGAAATACATCGTAGGTTGGGGAGGCGTGCAGAGTCAAATGAACTCTTTACCCACAAAATAGTATGCCTTCAATGAGTAAACATCCTTCAAAAAGCATGCTAAGGTGTTACCAAGACCAAAAATTGCATTGGGCATGTGGGAGAACAAACTCGGTAGTCAAGAGGTTAAAGCAATACCGCCACAAGCCCTACACATTTCTTTTTTGGATTGTGTGTTTCTAGTCGCAGACTTCCTGCACCAGGAAATAAATAAGAGATTGGCAAGAACATGGAGATAGGAAGCTTCTGGAGGTGACACGAGGCCACGAGAGGTGAAGCCAGAAACGTGGAGGGACACGCCCCAACGATGAACAAAACCGAGAGACGCCATTGGACAAAAAGGAGAGCTGACTTGGCGCCAACAGCTGTTTTGGTCACCCTCAAGGCCGACCAAGTCAGCTCTCCTTTTCATCCAATAGCGTCTCTTGGTTTGGGTCATAGTTGGGGGCTTGTCCCTTCACACTTCTGGCTTAACCTCTGGTGGCCTCATGTCGCCTCCGGAAGCTTCCTGCCTCCATGGGCAAGAAGAACAATGCGGGCAAGGGTGATCACCTGAGTTGGAGCGCCTCGTTGGCGGCAAGCCGTCGTGCGCGGTCTTTTGTTTCCCTCTCCACGATCTCCTCGATGCTCGGATCCTCAGGGTGCTCCCCCATCACCCATGTCCAGGGTTCGCCGTCATCACCCAGAAGAAAGTCCACGCGCTTGCAGCCTGTGACAGAACCGGCGAGACGACTCCGTCATTAACGTGTCGAAGGTTTACCGCCAAAAATACTGCGCAGACCTAATGTCGCATATCTACGCAGATATCGACACTCACTAGCTGGGCACGGGTAACCACAAGATTTTAGTTGTTTATTGTTCTTTTTGTAAGCTTTCGACAATGCTTGCTTTGCCGTCGTCGTTTCCGCTCTAGCATTTGAGAAACTTGTGCTTACAAAGCACTCCTTGAGTCTTCCCAGTCTAAAGTTGCATCAATGATATCATAGTTTAGGTACGCGCACAATGAGGGAGTGTGCAGTAAAGACAAAATGGCAAAAAGACACAACTGTTTCTTTCCAAAAAAGTTTTGCTCTCAATGAACTGGTCGCCACAAAAAAAACTTGCGCCAGCAAACATTGTTTTGTTGTTTTTTTCTTTTTAGTCATTTTGGACAGTGATGAACCCCAAATTTTAAGGCATAAGTAAATGCCGCAGATGAGCCTGAACTAATTTCGCCACACCAGTAGATCCGAAGTCGTCTCTTATTTCTGAAAACAAGAAAACCTTGAAAAGCTATCAACTAATTTTTAGCAAACTGTGATGCACCCTGTTCCTCCCTATGTCTTTTTAATACAAACACTTTGATACACAATTGTTCATAATACATAGCATATAGTTTTTATTTTTAAACAAGCTCTTGGCCATAGCTGTTGGTTCATGTTCATGTGCCGGTGCTCTTTTTTTTCTTGTTTTTGTTGCAAGGGTCTACCAATGCCCACCATCTTGATTTCATTACTTACTGTACCTTTACATGTCACTTTGTTCAGTTTCATTGCCACCCACTTGGGCCAAACATTTTAGGACACAGCAGCGAGTACAGCCGGGCAAAGAGGTAACAACTTCACGTCGAACGTGAGCTCTTCTCGTTTCACGGGCTCTATCCCAACTTGTGGTATTTATACAATTTAAACCTCTCTTCTATATTAGAGGCATACAAATGAGTCATTGAATGGACATAGTGCCGAACATCCTGACAACAGCATAGTTTAGAAAATGAGCCAAGAAATTGGACAATACACTCTAAGGCCGGAGTAGTCAACTTCTTGCCCGACTACCAAACAAAGCAGCATACAGTGCAAACCAATTCTCTCGAGACCGACGCGTCCACTACAGTGGCTTGGCTGGCTCACCAGGCTTCTTGGACAGGGTGGCCTTGTTTGCGAGGCCATTGGTGTCTTTCTCTCTCTGCTCCCAGCGTCGCACCTGCTCTTCCCGCATCTTGCAGAAGAGGATGTGCCGTTGCTCCTCGTCCAGCTCCGCCAGCAGCTGGGGCTCGATGTACATATCCCGCAGGATCTGCTGCAGCATCTTCACCCCTGCAGGCACATGAGGAATGAAAAGATGACAAAGCCATCTTTGTCGATTGCATGAAGTTTCCTTTCAAAGCGAAATCTGTCTAGGGCTGAAATTCTATAAAAATATGTTAAAAAACGTGCAACATGAATATTCCATTCATGTTAAAGTTAACGGGAAGGATTTGATTTGGCATATAATTATATGCCAATTCAAATTTCGACATCCTATCGGAATTCGGTGCGACTCTCGAGCTCAGAAAAGCTCGTAAACGAGCACCCAGGAACAACGCTGTACATTCTGCGGACCCCCCTTTATCTGTCCGATTCAGATTCATTTCATTTTACCCTAGCTGGACTTGCATTCGAAATGCAGAAATTCCCAGAGCTAGGAGGTATGGCCATGGCCCTGGCCGTATTAAAATCCTCGAGCCACATGGCTGAGTTAGATAGACAAATTTTAGATTTAGGAGGTTTCACTGTATGTCTGTTAATGTATGTACATAAGTTGTTAGATATGCAATTAGAACCAGTTCCCTGTATAAGTCGTTTCCAATGTTGTTTTGAATTCTCTCTCGTGCCTTGGAGGTAAAATAAAAACAAACAAGAATACAATCCGATTTGAGAGTTCTGCGGACACCCACAGTGAAAATGATGGGCCAGGTCGACAAAGGCCATGGCGGTAAAGCCTCAACAATTTTGTACCCTGCCACCATTTCCAGTAGCGGATCCAGAACTCCGTTTTTGGGGGGAGGGGGTATTTGCAAAGATACTATTCTCCCATTCTTTCGTGTGCACCGGGTGGTTCACCCATCACCCATGTCAAATTGCCTTCCGAGAAGAGGGGAGGGGGGGGTCGAGGATCGACTTTGTTTGGAGGAGGCAACCGCCCCCGCCACCCCGCCCCCCTTAGATTTGCCCCTGCTATTTCCTGAATTTAAGTCATTCTCAATTCAATGGGGCTCTATACAAAAAAGCGAAAGAACCGGGCTATACACCTTTTCCACAAGGGCGCAGCCGTCTTGAATGTCGTCACTTGTGGTGTGCGTTAAAACACTGCTTTTATCTGTCCACGCCACTGGGAGGTGTTCACAAAACATGCGTGATTGTCACACATCTTGTTTTGCCTCGCCTATATTTTCTCGCATTTTCAAGGTTGAAATGTCTTATTATTTTTTTCGGCCCGCATACCAGATATGGAACCGACGTGATTGAGAATGGAAGGAAACGAAAAAGAAAAAGATCACTACGTTAAAAAAATTTACTAACCTATCGACTAATCAATAAAAACAAACTGCTTCCTGACCACAGGAAAAACTGCAATGTTCAAAAAATCCATGCAAACAGTTTTATTTTCTCAACTAATCTGCATATGGAGCAATATGACACATCAAAAAGTGGCTAAATGGTTGTTTTTCTAATAGAAACAAGAGGTTGGTATGATGTGAAAAAAAGATTAATATTTAATTTCTTGAAAATATGATGTATGTGACATAGCTTTACAGCTAAGTCAAATTAAAGGACAAAAGAAAAAGTCTGAATATACAAAATGTGCCCCACACCTACGGCTATTACTTCTGAAAGCTAGTGCGCTCTTACTGATGTCTATTTTTGGCTTGTCAGTGAGTTAGCCTCCGTAACACGTGTATCTTTAAACGAAGGAATGCTTCTATTGGTGAAGCACAGATAGGAAACCTCACATTCCAGCAGAGTGCTTTCTTTGTGTTTTACATTGGTTTTGTCATAGCCTTGATTGCAGTACCTTCATGCTTAGCATTTCTGTTCGCCTTGTTGGGAACATAAAACGTCCATCTGTTAAACGACGCCTATAACATCATTAAAAGTGTCCCCAGAGCTCTTAAAGTCTAAAATATATGCCACAATACAGTTGAAATATGTTAAGAATACATTATTGTTAAAAAGTGGTGCAAGCAGTTAGCCATGTCAGACAAGTGCAACCACCATTCTCAGGACTATTTTCGATAGCCCACCAGCTTGTGATAGAGCTGAAACCTATGTTTACACCGAAACTAGTTCTTCGGATATCCATGAAATTGTGAAACGATTCTCCACACTAAATTTAATTTCTTGACGGCGCTTGGAAACCATCGACCACCGGTGATCGATGGCCTATGGGCACGGTCAGGAAAGAGTTAATCGCAGACCGATTCCATAATTGATTAATCTGCAAAAAAAGTGTCACGAGCATCATTTGTTGTCATCAAACTCAACATAAGAATTCAGTCATTGTGAACCCTTCTGCTCCTCTGAAAACGTGTTTTAAAAGCACGTTCAAAACTAGTAACTTCTCTCTCCTATTTAAGTCAAAACTCTTATGTAAATCACCCCATCTCACACTTTTCAATTACTTTGTAAATCGTACTTAGGTGTTTGTGACTTTACATCAATAAAAATGAGTAGATTTATTTGTCCCCTCCTCTACCTCTGCTATCAGCCATGGCATTTGTATGTGTGCCAAACAAACCAACAAATAAAATTAAATGACAAACTAATTTTTCCTGTACCGCAAAGCCTAGATGAATATCAGCAACTGTGTTCCGCAAACATGTAATGGCTGATTTCGCAATACTTTAACAATTCTGACGACCTCCACAATACTAATTTAATTAATCAAGTGATTAATAAAAAATAACAATGATTAATTGGTTAACAGCTTTTAATGCCGTGCACAGCCCTTTGTAATCATTATAATAATTACCAACATTATTATTATTTACATCAGTGGTTCTCAGGTGGGGGTCCGCAAAGGCATTCTAGGGGTCCGCGAAGCTTTGCCTCATTGACAAGGAAAGTTGTATTGTTCCAGATTAAGAAGAAACGTTCCAATTTTCGGGCGAGTTTTCTAGTGTGTATGTCAACGAGACAAGTCACTTCCCTCTAGCCCTAAGTTATATATCCACTTATTAACTAATTATAATAATTCCATACATTTCCCTTTCCTTCACCACAGAGGGGGTCCTCCATTATCTCTGCCGATCCACAAGGGGTCTGCGACACATCAATGGTTGAGAATCACTGATTTAAATTATTACGACAGCGAATAATAATTCAAAAAATTGAAAATCTGCGGAGCAAGCTTGATGAGAAGGAAAGTGTCAAATTATCAAATGACATTTTAATTAATGAGTCGTCCTTTCAGTATATAACACATAAACGCAATAACATAACACATAAACGCAATAACGCCCGACGAATCCATCATACCTGGTCAGTGCTCACTAGCCACTGACATGGTGAGAACGACAGGGAGGAGCTCCGGTTGCCCCGTTTCCAGCGTGAGCTTCCTGCCTTCGGCAACGCTTCGACGTCTCGTGCACCTGGAGCGCACCAAAGCACGGTGGAAGCCAAAGCACGGTCGAAGGCATGGAGCGCGTGCTGGAGGTCAGGCGTTCGAAAAGACACGCCCCGTTGTTCTCGCTCTGTCAATAACTTATGTTGGGTGTGAAACGTGGTTTCTCCTCTTAAAACGCACTTGACCCTCTTATTCCTACGACACCCTCACAACCGAAAAAAAATTAATCAACGAAGTTTTATTCCGAGCCCCCGTCCTATTCCCAGCTTCATCACATGTTCGCGGGGACAAAGCGACGCAAATGGCGCAATCGCGAAAACAGAAAGGTGCGGGCGAACGTTAGACAGTGGGCGCATTCCATCTGAGGCGATAAGACGCAGACGACCACAACGCACAGCAGACGAACCGCGCGCGCACTGCTCTCTTTCGTGATTCATCCGCACGATCCGCACGCTATCCCACGCCGCCGGACAGATATGGCCAAAGAACCGAGCACTCGAGAATGTAGGCAGGGACAAGGGCTGTTCCCGGCAAAGTAATTTCGTTCTCGGAGATAAGGTGAGGCGAATAAATACTCACGTTGTGTTTGTGGCTTTCCTAACGAAGCATCGCCCGAGCCATTGCGAGGCGTCGTCGCGTCGTCTGCCGCCAGCGTCAGCCGAACACGACGACTCGCCGACATCGCTTCCCGCCCACGGAACTACTTTTGCTTTCTATTCCTTTCAAGATCAAGTTCAGAGGAGGCGCGCGGTGGCGAGGAGAGCAAGATTACTCCCACCTACTCCCGCCGACCTCCCGCGTACCACCCTGGCGACTCTGTGTCTGTAGTGCAACGAGTGCATCAGTTCGCGAGTGTCGACGCCTCAAGAAGGCGTGAACAGTTGCGTTGGTTGCGCGATGAAGACGGATCTTTATCTGTATCTTTATCTGTATATGAGTTATCTTTGTGAATCGGCATGAAGGCCGTCCGTAGCGCTAGTTTGGAATTACAGGGTTTGGCGTTTGGACTGTTTAGAGGTTGTCCCTTTGTGTTGGTAGTGACTGTCTGGAGGGTTTGGCGGTTGAACTGGTTAGAGTTGCTCCTTTGTGTTGGTGGTGGGCTGTTTGTGGACTATATAAGGAGGAGGACTGAATAAACCTGTTAGCTGAGTTTGAGACGTCGTCCTGTCCCGTTCTGTTTCTTCGACTTTTATGTTTTTCTACCCCAGTCTCAGGTATATTCAACATGGTTAACATCCACCAGCTCGCCTGCACCCTTACTATTGTATCTAAGACGGAGAAAGTGGCGCGCTACTTCTCGACGCCAGCTACTCGCAGCAGCGTTAAAAGTAGCCAAGAGTGAGTGCGTTCGTTTAATCGGCTCTCGAAACCACGCAATGTCGTCAACCTGCTAATATCTGACGTCAGAGGCTACTTTGCAACCCGTCTGAAGAGTTTGAATCACGTGATCGCCAAACGGGAGCTCGGGCAATAAACGAACGCGTTCGATCGGGTGGTCAGGTGATTTAACTCCAGTGTTAAAAGTGGTTACGAAAGTCGGGAAAGAGGATTTCGTGAGCAGGATCGCGAATTTGGCAACGTTTCCGATCTCGCTTGGGAAGACCCCACGTCAAATGGCATCTCGGCAAAGGGCGGAAATCGAAAAGGGCTAACCCGGGGATATGAACCTATGATATGAACAGAAAAAGACGAAACGCATGAAAGCGTAAGA